TTCCCTAAATTTGTCAGTAAGTCAACATTTTTAGGTAACAAGGTTCAGAGAGCAATACGTTTTAAAATAGACAGTGTATTTTTATAAAATAGCATAGAATGAAAGGAAATATACCTCGTTTATAACCTGTGCAGGATACGCGATTATATTCCTCCAAATACCAGAGTTATAGGGAAAATTAAAAGTCCCCAAATTTGTCAATTTTAGAATATTTTTGAGTAATAGGGTTCTGGAAGCTATAACTTCTAAAATATGCAATATATTTTTATAAAATAAGTTGATATAGGAACAAAAGGGCCTAATGTAAAATCAGTACAAGCTATATTTTAATAACGCAGGATACACCAGAGTTATAGCCAAAAATACAAAATTGCCAACATTTGTTAGTTTGTAACAATTTTTGGATAAGACTGTGCAGGGAGCTATAACTTTTAAAATAAACGGTATATTTTTATAAAATATTACAGAAAGCAAGATAAAGGGTCTAATTTATAACCTGTCCAAGTTAAGGTGCAATATTCCTTTAAATTCTACAGTTATGACCAAAAATACAAATTTCCCTAATATTCGCAACTTTTGAAACAATTTTTGGGTAACTTTGCTCAGGAAGTTATAATTTTTAAAGTTTACTATTTATTTCTATAAAATGGTTTGAAATTTAAAATAGAAAGTCTAACATAAAACCTGTGCAAAGTATATGGTAATATCACACGATGTACCCGAGTTATACTATCAAACGAAAAATATACCCAAATTCCTTGTTTTTTTTTATATTTTTGCTTAACTGTAATACAAACGCCAAAATTTCGAAATTTGTGGGTACATCTTTATAAAATAAATAGATTTTTGAAAGAGCGTTACCTGAGTTTCAGGTTATGGAAATTCTAAATATGTACCTTTAGAAATGCCAGAGATATGTCCAAAATTATATAAGTGAACAAATATTAGAAATTTATTAATTTTTTGAGCAACTGTACCCCAAACTACATAACATCGCTCATAGGTGATGTATCTTTATATTTTAAATTGGTGTTGAAAGAGTGCCGTCTATAGTTCAAGTAGTGCAAATTTTAGGGATATACAATGGAAAGTATCAGAGATATGACCAAAAATATGTAAGTGACAAAATATTAGAACTTTATTAACTTTTCGAGTAACTGTAATCCAAACTACATATCTTCGCTCATAGGTAGTATATTTTTATATTTTAAATAGATGTTGAAAGAGTGTCGTCTGTACTTCAAGGAGTGCAAATTTTAGAGATATATATTGAAAAGTACCAGAGATATGACCAACATTATAAGAGCGACAGAATATAAGAAATTTATTAATTTTTTGAGTAACTGTAATCTAGACTACATAACTTGGCTCATAGGTGGTGTATTTTTATATTTTAAGTATATGTTGAAAGAGTGTCGTCTATAGTTCAAGTAGTGCAAACTTTAGGGTTATATATTGAAAAATACCAGAGATATGACCAAAAATATATAAGCGACCAAATATTAAAAAAAAATAATTTTTTTGTGTAACTGTAATCCAAACTACATAACTTCGCTCATAGGTGGTGTATCTTTATATTTTAAATAGATGTTGAAGGAGTGTCGTCTCTACTTCAAGTAGTGCAATATTTGAGGATATATATAAAAAAATACCTGAAATATTACCAAAAAAAATTTAAGCGACCTAATATTAGAAATATATTAATATTAAGGTATCTGTAATCTATACTGCATAACTTCGGTCAAAGGTGTTGTATCTTTATATTTTAAATAGATGTTGAAAGAGTGTCGTCTATAGTTCAAGTAGTGCAAATTTTAAAGATATGTATTGAAAAGTACAAGAGATATGACCAAAAATATATGAGCTACCAAATATTAGAAATATATTAATTTTTTGAGTAACTGTATTCTAGACTACATAACTTCGCTAATGGGTGGTATATCTTTATATTTTAAAAAGATGTTGAAAGAGTGAAATCTATACTTCAAGCGAGGTGAATTTTAGGAATATATATTGAAAAGTACCAGAGATATAACCAAAAATATATAGAAAATGTGACATTATCAAAAGATTTACATACATTTTTAATTATATTATTTTTTGGTTTTCCTCTTTTCTAAATCTTTTTTTTTTCAACTTACCATTCTATTTTTATGTCTTTCCCCAATTTGCAAATAAAAATATTTGTTTTTTTCATTTTGTTTTATTTCGTTAGAAATTTTATTTCTTTGTTTATTTCTATTTATTTAAAACTAACTTATACAAATAACTATAAAAAATCAGTTCATAATACTTAAATGCTAAAGTGTTTGTGTTTGTTGAAATGTTTATTTGTTTGTTCTTTTCTAGGCTTTTATTTTTTTAATAGAAAAATAAGACTCCAAGAAAACAGTTTTTAATCACAATAATAATTTGTTACAGCTCCGCTAGGAAGGCAAAGAAAAAGTGGGAGAAAAAAATATAAAAACAAATTCAAAATAAAATATTTTTGTTGGGATTCAGGTGTCCGAAAATCTATTAAATAAAATAAATTTTGAATTCAATTTGGAAATATTGGGTTGGCATAAATAGGAAACAAAATAGAAATATGTAGTCTTTCGATATGTTCTTCATTTTTTCGTTATCCAAGGGCGCCATCTATTTCTCAGGGAAGTCATTTACAATTAAAACTCAGTATATTCTGAGAGCTACAGACCCTTTTCTGCAACTTTTATCCATTGAAAAGTTACAGAATATGGCCCAGGTGTACCTTATGACCTAGAATAATTCTGCAATTCAACTGAGCCAGATTTTATAGAAGATGAGGTTTAAAGCTGCCACCTAAGTGTGATATGTAGCAGAGGTTTTAAAAATATATAATTGGGAAAAATTTGTTGAATTCTTGTTCTACTTGGAAGGATTTAAAAAAATATTTTACAATTAACAGGGCTCTTAGACTTTTGGTTTTCTGTAAATAAATCGGAATTACGTTTAGAAATTTATAATGAAAAATGTTTTAGGAAAAATAATTGAAAAAGTCTGTGGCGCCATCTATTTGTAGATAATTAAAATAAATAAATAAATATCATGGAAGATTTTCCATGAAATATCCTGAAAGAGGGATTTTTCTCAGTCTCAAATAATTAATGGAAATTGAATTTGAATTTTTTTATTTTTTGAGAAGACAAATCATTTAATATTTGAAGCAAAGATGTCGCTCCCTTTGTTAAGGTTTCATAATTAAAAAAGAATTTATTAGTTTTTGTTTTTTGGCCCCTACATGTGGGGAATTTGAAAGTGGATTTAAAAGTTGATTTTGTTGTTTTTTTTTTCTTTGTTTTTGAGCAAACAAATCATTTCCTATTTGAATTGAAGATGTCGCCCTATTGCTTAAGTTTCATATTCTAAAAAAGTAGTAGTATTTTCTGGTCCCTACATGTGGGGGATTTAAAAATATATATTTTCTAAATTGGAAATTTTTAGACTCAAAAAATAAATGAAAATTGGATTTGAAATATAATTTTTTGAGAAAACAAATATTTCTTTAATGAATTTTAATTTTGTTCCATTGGATGATACTCTGACCTCTAGATGTGAGGAATTATTTCCTTGAAACTGTTTACATTTGAGATCGATTCATTTAAATTGTATTGTATTAAATTTGTAAATAATTTTGTAAAGTAGGAAATACTTTGCAAGCAGAAGAGATCGAAAAAAATGAAAAAAAGTAGAAATTAAATTTTCATCAATTCCAGAAATAGATGGCGCTTTGTTTCCTGTATTTTCTTTGCCTATTTTGAGAAATTCCTCTTTCAATTCCCTTTTTGTAATACTTGTTTTACAAGTTTTCATTGCTTTCGCTTGGGAAAACTGATTTTACTAATTGCGAAAAATATTTGGAAATTCTTCTTCACAAATAAAAATCGAAAAATGGAAAATAATTAGCAAATAGCGGTGCATAAATTCCAAAAATAGATGGCGCCCAGTTTTCTGTATTTTCTTTTGTCGTTTGAGAAGTTTTTCTTTCAATTCGACCGGACCGGAAATTATAGCCTGGCAATTGCCAACAAAAATACATTTCAATAAAAATTGGTTGATTTCTAAATAAGTTTATTTTCCTTAAAATTTTCAACAATAGATGGCGCTATGTTTTCTTACACAAACTCTTATAATACACATATGGGCGACACATGGCATGAATTACAAATAGATGGCGCCCAAGTTGCTGTTGTTTAAAATCTTGATTTTTTTGTATTTCACTAATAGATGGTGCTACTCTTATGATCCTTTCTTTTTAAACACGAATTATTGAAATTCATAAATAGATGGCTCTGCTCGTTGCGCCTGAATAAAAAGGGAAATACCAAGTTTCAGAAAGTCATGGTGCTCCGGTGGTTATTCTTAACTTCAAAAAATAGACATCCTTTCTTTTGTTAAAACACAGACTCTTTAATTTAAGAATAGATTACACGCTTCTCTGTGAATGAATAAAGAACTACAACTTTTCACAAATAGAAGCCGCTCCGGCTATTGTTTAAAAAATTGTAATTTTTGTGTTTCACAAATAGATGGCGCTACGCTTATGACCTTTTGTTTTAAAGCTCGAATTCTTATATTTCATAAAAGTCCTTGAATAAAAAAGTAACTATTATTTTTCACAAATAGATGGCGCTCCGGTAGTTAATCTGAAGTGCTACAAATGTATGATGCTCCTCTCTGTTTTTAAAACATGAATTGCTATAATTCACAAAATTTGAATAAAAAATCAAGCGTCACTTTTCACAAACAGATAGCGCCCTGGTTGCTGTTGTTTAAAGTCTTTAATTTTGGAATTTCAAAAATAGATGGCGCTGCTCTTATGTTCTTTTTTTGAATGCCAATTTATCTAAGGCATTTTCTGTTTTTAAAAAATTATTGTTTTGACAATTTTTTTTGATTCTTTTCTAAAATTAAAAATATTTTCTAAGACTTTTTATAGATTTTAAAAATTTGAAAATTTTCTCCCATTTTTTCTTTGCCTTCTACTGTTGGGCTCAATAAAAAAATCCTATAATTCTATAATTCCTATAACTATTTTCAAGCACTAAATCAGCATGGAATTTGGGCCAGAATAGGCATCAAGTTGCACTTCAAGGCTAAAATCCAAATTTTTACTGACATTTCTCAAAAAAAAATTTCTGATTTTTGGCCATAAGGCACCCATGATGTCTACCTCTGCCCCCTAGCTGATTTCTACTTGAATTCTGCCACAAAAAATACTTTGGTGTTTTTTTTCTTCTGAATTACTGTGAATTTTTTTTTCACCTAAACTTCAGGCTTCCTCTTCTTAGGTCCTGTATTTTTGGTGGCCTGCAAAAATAATTTGCCAAAAATATTCTAAAGCTAAACTACATGCCTAAGCAACATTTGGAATTCTTAGCAAAAAAACTGGTTTCCTACATTCCCCCTCCTTCAAGGGGGCCTTGAACTGAAACCTCTGCTCAGGTGTTAATCTAAAATTATTACCCCATTGATGAAGTTACCCCCCGAATTTGTGCGTGAATGTTTTTATACCTTCTTCTGTCTCACTGCTTAAAGCCATGATCCTCCTTGATCATATCCGCCGCCTTCTCGGCAATCATGAAGACCGGTCCATTGGGATGGCCAGACATAATTTCGGGCATAATACTGGCATCGGCCACACGCAAATTCTTGATGCCATACACTCGCAGGCGGGGATCCACAACGGCGGCTCGATCCGATTTGGGACCCATTTTACAGGTACCCGAGTAGTGATAGATGGTAAAGGTGAAATGCTTGACATAACACTCCCAATAGGCATAGGACTGGAATTCGTGCTGCTTGCAGGTGGGCACACGCTTGTCCCACATTTTGGCATCGATTTTCTTGAAACCTTGCTGATTCATCAGGCTAATGGCCTTGAGCAGACCTCTCACAGAGATATCCACATCATAGGGATGATTAAAGTAGTTGGCAAAGATGAGTGGATATTTGAAGGGATCGGTGGATTTGAGCATGATACGACCACGGGATTTGGGTCTCAGGATCATGGGGAAGATCATGAAGGCATTGAGGTTACGGTCTTCGATTTCGGCAAACATGTTGTCATAGATTTTCTTCTTCAAGCCAAAGGCCCGGGAAATGGCGGGGTTGGAGGACATGGAACCACCTACCAAGAACAACTCAATATCTGGCCAACCATCTTCCAGTTCAGGGTGATCCAGATCCCAAAAGGCGATGGCCTCACAGCCACCGGGAGAGCCATAGGGTCCTTCCTGGCGATTGAAACGATTCAGCCAGGTGGGTTGGGCAAAGTCCTCGAAATGTAGAGATGTGGCATTGGTGGTAAAGGTCACAGCAGGGGCGGTGTGATCCTGCAAATTGAAGCCCACAGCCAAATCCGCCAAAGGCTTAATGCCCATTTCCTTGAGATGTTTGGCAGGACCCACTCCGGACAACATTAGCAACTGGGGACTGTTGATGGCTCCCGCGCTGACAATCACCTCCTTGCGGGCCAGGATTTTGTGTTCATGGCCATCGGTACTCACGAGAACACCATAGGCCGTCTTGGTGGTGGGGTCAATCAGAACCTTGGTGACCAGGGCATTTTTCTTGACATGCAAATTGGGGCGTTTTCCCTTCAGCGGATACAAATACGAACGATTCGAACTCCAGCGAGTCGAGTTATAGGTGGTGGTGTGCAGATACGAGACTCCATTCTGGATGTGGCCATTGTAGTCACGATATCTCAGGCCATCCTGTTGGGCAGCCTCTACAAAGGCATTGGCAATGCTGGAACGCCAATTGACATAGGATACACGCACGGGGCCCTTGCGACCCACCATATCGGGATCGGCATCGGGCACAGTGGAGCCTTCATATTTCTTGAAATAGGGCAGAACATCCTCAAAACTCCAGCCCTCATTACCCAGCTCCGCCCAACGATCATAGTCCCGGCGATTGCCTCGTGTGTACATCATGTAGTTCAGGACCGAGGAGCCACCCATGACCTTACCTCTGGGCCAATTGCAGCGATTGTTGTTCATGGCCAGACAGGCATGATCCGAAGGTTGGGTGCGATATTTCCAATTCATTTCACCCAGCTGCAGGAAATGGGCCACAATGGGTACATCCATGATCAAACGCTCTGGGCCACCAGCTTCCAACAGCAATACCTTCCACTTGGGATTCTCGGAGAGACGGGCAGCCAGGGTACAACCCGCCGTGCCGGCACCCACCACAATAAAATCATATTCTCCCTCCATTTCGTAGCGATTGTCATAGTTCTCCAGCTCCACATCTTGTTGGCCGCGACGCAAAAACTCCAGGGTTTCCAGGATGACATTACGTTCCTGGCCGGCGGTCAGGCAAATGCTTAACGACAGCAGCCCCAGCAGGGCCGTCATGGGTAGGGGGATTTGCTTAAAAACTTTCAACATTTTCAAACTTCTTTTTCCTCTTCTTCTTCTTATTTTTTTATTAATTTTTCATAATATTTTCAAAATTTTTTTTGGATTTCACTTTTTTTGTCTCAACACTTTTTTGAATTTTGAATTCAAAATTTTTGTAACTCTTTCTTTGAGGTCCCGTTTATTTTTTTTTTTTTAATTTTTTTTCGTTTTTTTTCTCGTTTCCACTTGGCCTCTCGTTTCTAGCCAGCGAACCGTTCTGTTGCCGAACTTAACTAGGAATGTTTCTAGCCATGTTTTATGTTTCGGTTTTAATGGCCATCTGAAAAAATCGCAAAATTAAAAACAACAACAACAACATTCACACTCAAAATCTGCGTCCACAAGTTCTTAATGAGCAGATCCGCCAACGAAGTTGATGGCAGCAGTTAGCGTCTTTTGCGCAAAAAACAAGTTTTAACGTTGGGCGCCAACATCGGCAGCATAGGTGAGCGCTCTCAATGCTGGTCTTGATATTTGAACTTAAACTTTGTTCGAAACTAAACGCAACGCAGCTACGGCGACGGCCACACAACTTCAGAATTCTTGGTCTGGCTTGGCCATGCCGATGCTGCTGCTACTGCTGCCGTGATTGGTGATGGTGAAACGACAAATTGCTTCTTCGCTGGGTCTTTCATGCGTGGCGGCTAATTGTTTGGATTTTCGCTTTTCATTATGATTTTTGTTTTCCTCTCAAAGGTCGCCAGCATGCTGTAGCCGGCCAGCCAGCCAGCTTAGCTGAGCGAAGCAGAGCTGTGAATGCTAGTTCTTTGTCTCGGAGCTCGAAGCTCTTCTTGATTGCGGTCAATAATTCGCGCTTACTCATTCTTCATTCACTTTCGTTTTCTTCAATGCTTTTTTGATGTTGTTTTTGTTGTTGGCACCTGTGCAGAATCATTATTTTGGAGTTTCTTCACAGTTCACATGTCACACAGCACGTATGAGTTTCAGTTCTTCGTTGTCGTCATCAACAAACTTGAGGTGAAGCATGGAAATTAGAATACAAAAAAAAAAAAAAAAAAAAAAAATAGAAGGCCTTCAAGGGGTCTTCTTAAAAAGAGAATAATTAAAAAATAAATTCAACAAAAGTGAATTAAAAAAATAAAATTTTGGAAATAGACGTGGATTTTATAAAAATGTTTTGGAGGCCACGAAATAGACGTGGATTTTTTAAAAATATTTTTTCGAGGACTACACACAAACGTGGATTTTTTAAAAATATTTTTTCAAGGACCCACCCAAAATGTGGATTTTTCAAAAATATTTTTTCAAGAACTACTAACAAACGTGGATTTTTTAAAAAATTTTCAAGGACTATCCACACACGTAAATTTTCTTTAAAATATTTTGGCAAGGACTAACCACAAACGTAGGTTTTTTAAAAATATTTTTTCAAGGACCAACCACAAACGTGGATTTTTTAAAAATAATTTTTCAAGGACCAACCACAAACGTGGATTTTTTAAAATCATTTTTTCAAGGATTATTTACAAACGTGGTTTTTTCAAAAATATTTTTTCAAGGATTATTTACAAACGTGGATTTTTCAAAAATATTTTTTCAAGGACCAACCACAAACGTGGATTTTTAAAAAATATTTTTTCAAGGATTATTCACAAAGTGGATTTTTTAAAAATATTTTTTCAAGGGCTATACACAAACGTGGATTTTTAAAAAATAATTTTTTCAAGGACTATCAACAAATGTGGATTTTTTAAAAATATTTTTTTCAAGAACTCTCCGCAAACGTGGATTTTTTAAAAATATTTTTTGCAAGGGCTCTCCACAAACGTGGATTTTTCAAAAATATTTTTTCAAGGATTATTTACAAACGTGGATTTTTCAAAAATATTTTTTCAAGGACCAACCACAAACGTGGATTTTTAAAAAATATTTTTTCAAGGATTATTCACAAAGTGGATTTTTTAAAAATATTTTTTCAAGGGCTATACACAAACGTGGATTTTTTAAAAATAATTTTTTCAAGGACTATCAACAAATGTGGATTTTTTAAAAATATTTTTTTCAAGAACTCTCCACAATCGTGGATTTTTTAAAAATATTTTTTGCAAGGGCTCTCCACAAACGTGGATTTTTCAAAAATATTTTTTCAAGGACCATCCAAAAACGAGGATTTTTTAAAAATATTTTTTCAAGAACTAAACACAAACGTGGATTTTTTAAAAATATTTTTTCAAGGACCTTCCACAAATTGGAATTTTTTAAAAATAATTTTTTAAGGATTATTCACAAACGTATATTTTTTAATATTATTTTTTCAAGGACTACCCAAAAATTTGGATTTTTTTTAAATATTTTTCAAGGACTATCCAAAAATTTAGATTTTTTTAAAATATTTTTCAAGGACTTTCCAAAATTTTGGATTCTATAAAATTTTTTTTTCAAGGACTAACCACAAACGTGGATTTTTTAAAAATATTTTTTTCAAAGACTCTACACAAACTTGGATTTTTTAAAAATATTTTTTCAATGACTAACCACAATATTCGATTTTTTAAAAATATTTTTTAAGGTCTCTCCACAAACGTGGATTTTTTAAAAATATTTTTTCAATGACTAACCACAATATTCGATTTTTTAAAAATATTTTTTAAGGTCTCTCCACAAACGTGGATTTTTTAAAAATATTTTTGTAAAATCTATCCACAAACGTGGATTTTTAAAAATATTTTTCAAGGACTATCCACAAATGTGAATTTTTAAGAAATATTTTTTCAAGGACCAACCACAAACGTGGATTTTTTAAAAATATTTTTTAAGGACAATCCACAAACGTGGATTTTTAAAAAAAAATTTTTCAAAGACTATCCACAAACGTGGATTTTTTAAAAAAAAAATTTTCAAAGACTATCCACAAACGTGGATTTTTTAAAAATATTTTTTTATGGACTGTCCACAAACATGGATTTTTTAAAAATATTTTTTAAAGACTCTCCACAAACGTGGGTTTTTTAAAAATATTTTTTCAAGGACTACATACAAACGTGGATTTTTTAAAAATATTTAAAAGGATATTATCCACAAACGTGGATTTTTAAAAAAATATTTTGGAGGCTACGAAATAGACGTGAATTTTTTTAAAATATTTTTTCAAAGACTATCCAAAAACGTGGATTTTTTTTAAATATTTTTTTCAAGGACTCTCCACAAACATGGATTTTTTTAAAAATATTTTTGTAAAATCTATCCACAAACGTGGATTTTTTAAAAATATTTTTGTAAAATCTATCCACAAACGTGGATTTTTAAAAATATTTTTTCAAGGACTATCCACAAATGTGAATTTTTAAGAAATATTTTTTCAAGGACCAACCACAAACGTGGATTTTTTAAAAATATTTTTTCAAGGACTATCCACAAACGTGGATTTTTTAAAAATATTTTCTAAAGGACCAACAATAAACGTGGATTTTTTAAAAATATTTTCTAAAGGACCAACAATAAACGTGGATTTTTTAAAAATATTTTCTAAAGGACCAACAATAAACGTGGATTTTTTAAAAATATTTTCTAAAGGACCAACAATAAACGTGGATTTGTTAAAAATATTTTTTCAAGGACTATCCACAAACGTGGATTTATTAAAAATATTTTTTCAGGGACTATCCACAAACGTGGATTTTTTATAAATTTTTTTTCTAGGACCACACACAAACATGGGTTTTTTAAAAATATTTTGTCAAGGACTATCCATAAACGTGGATTTTCTGACAATATTTTTCAAGGACCATCCAGATATGTGTATTTTTGTAAAATATTTTTTCACGGGCTAACCACAAACGTGGATTTTTTAAAAATATTTTTTCAAGGACTAACCACAAACGTGGATTTTTTTAAAAAATAATCTTTCAAGGACTATTCACAAACATGGATTTTTTAAAAATATTTTTTCAAACACTAACCACAAACGTGGATTTTTTTAAAAAATAATTTTTCTAGGACTAACCATAAATGTGGATTTTTTTAAAAAATAATTTCTCAAGGACTATTCACAAACATGGATTTTTTAAAAATATTTTTTTAAGGATCAATCACAAACATGGATTTTTTAAAACTATTTTTTCAAGGAGTACCCACAAATGTGGATTTTTTAAAAATATTTTTCAAGGACTATCCAAAATTTTGGGTTCTATAAAATTATTTTTTCAAGGACTACCCACAAACTTGGATTTTCTAAAAATATTTTTTCAAGGAGTACCCACAAATGTGGATTTTTTAAAAATATTTTTCAAGGATTATCCAAAAACGTGGATTTTTTTAATATTTTTTCAAGGACAATCCACAAACATGGATTTTTTAAAAATATTTTTTCAAGGACCATACACAAACAACTGTCGGACGATTGGCTTAGAAATGACAGCGGTCTGAAGTTGGTTGCAGTTTTTTAATCTCACCCTGTATATGGGGGCTATATAAACAAATTTACCCCCATATTGTTGACCTTGTGTCTCGATATGTGGGGTATCGAGAAAAAAAAAAAAAACATTAACACTTCGCTTTATAATTGATAGATTTCCACAAAACCAGCTAGGCCTAATTAGGTGAGGTTTTGAGAGGAAATTCAATTTTTATATCAAATTCAAATTTCACAAAAAAAAAAAAAAAAAAAAAAACTGGAAGTTTCTCCTTCGATTTATTGCCGGTTGGTTAACAGGTTACGGGTTTTTTTGAACTGAAATGAACTTTTTTTTTAAAAAATCTGGTCTATAAATATCCGAACAGAAAAAAAGGGGATCAGACCGGTATAACGTACGTCAAAGGGATTAAATTCTAAATTATTATTCTACGGCTGAGTTCAAAATCACTTTCCAATTGAGGTGGTTAATCAAATTACAGTGACTCACAGTCACTTTAAAAATAAATTCCTTTGTCTATCTTTTTTTGAACTCAAAATATCCCCACTGACTTGTATTGAAATTTATTTTTTATTTCAATTTTTGTTGTTTTTGTTTTTTTTTTTTTTTTTTTTTTTTTTTGACTAAAAATATTTCCACAGACTGATATTGAAATTTATTTAATTTAAATTTTTTTGTTAATTTTTTTTGTTTTAACATGCATTGCTGTTGCTTGGCCAGCAGAGCCCCACCAGCTGCCTGCATTCAATTCCAATAGAATTAAGACCGTATTTGTTGTTTTTATTATTTCCCATTATTATGGTTTATAATCGCTGTCCGTATAATTGATGTTGTCTTTTCATTACCCAGTCGTCGAATGGGCCTCACTCTTACAACGTCATCAATGTTGGATTTTTTGCAAAACTAATTTGTTTTTGTTTTACAGCGATTAAATGTAATTAAAAAAAAAAATAAATAAATGAAAACTGGTCATCAGTTACGCTACAACAAAATGAGATATTGAATCTGACTGGCCGACCGAGAATCAATGCTCCGCGTAAACGGCTAAAGCTAGAATCTTGGAATTTTTGCACAAGTTCCAGTGATGGTGCGTAGGTGTGTGATAAGACACGGGTATTTCCACAACCGCAGACCTCCCAGAATTTCTATCCTATTCACAAACGTGGATTTTTTAAAAATATTTGTTGATATTTTTTCAAGGACTATCCACCATTACGGATTTTTTAAAAACAGCTTTTCAAGGACTATCCACAAACGTGGATTTATTAAAAATATTTTTTCAAGGACTATCCGCAAACGTGGACTTATTAAAAATATTTTTTCAAGGACTATCCACAAACGTGGATTTATTAAAAATATTTTTTCAAGGACTATCCACAAACGTGGATTTTTTAAAAATATTTTTTCAAGGACTATCCACAAACGTGGATTTATTAAAAATATTTTTTCAAGGACTATCCACCATCAGGGATTTTTTAAAAATATTTCTTCAAGGACTATCCACAAACGTGGAATTATTAAAAATAATTTTTAAGGACTATCCACAAACGTGGAATTTTTGCAAAATATTTTTTTAAGGACTATCCACAAACGTGGGTTTCTTAAAAATATTTTTGCAAGGACTATCCACAAACTTGGATTTATTAAAAATATTTTTTCAAGGACTATCCACAAACGTGGATTTATTAAAAATATTTATTCAAGGACTATCCACAAACATGGATTTTTGACGTGGATTTTTTAAAAATATTTTTTCAAGGACCATCAACAAACGTGGATTTTTTAAAAATATTTTTCAAGGACCCACCCAAAACGTTGATTTTTTAAAAATATTTCTTCAAGGACTAACCGCAAACGTGGATTTTTTAAAATTAATTTTTCAAGGACTTACCACAAACCTGGATTTTTTAAAAATATTTTTCAAAGACTATTCACAAAAGTGGATTTTTCAAAAATATTTTTTCAAGGACTAACCCCAAACGTTGATTTTTTAAAAATATTTTTTAAAGGACTATCCACAAACGTGGATTTATTAAAATTATTTTTTCAAGGTCTATCCACAAACGTTGATTTATTAAAAATATTTTTTTAAGAGCTATCCACAAACGTGGATTTATTAAAAATATATTTTTAAGAGCTATCCACAAACGTTGATTTTTTAAAAATATTTTCTCAAGAACTAACCACAAACCTGGATTTTTTAAAAATATTTTTCCAAGGAGTTTCCACCATCAGGGATTTTTTAAAAATATTTTTTTCAAAGACTATCCACCATCAGGGATTTTTTAAAAATATTTTTTCAAAGACTATCTACAAACGTGGATTTATTAAAATTACTTAAAGACTATCCACAAACATGATTTGTTGTTTTATTTTTAAAACACTATCCGCAACTGTGGATTTTTTTAAATATTTATTTTTGTTTTATATATTATTTTTTATATTTATTTTTTAATTTTTTAAGAATCCTATTATTTGTTTTTTTTTTGTTTTTAATTCCATCACATGCCAATTCTTTTCTTAATATTTTTTCTCAACGAGCAGGAACCATTAAAAATATTCTTGCATCACTTAGCCTCAAACATAGTTTAAAATTGAGAATCCCGCAGAATATGTATTTTTTATACATCTGCTTACTTGCACCCCTTTTTTAAATATTTTGTTTACTTTTTTTTCCATTGCCAGAAACCAGTCTACAGTTAATTTCGTTAAACAAACAAATTAATTTCTGCGATAATTACCAGAAAAAAGTAACCAGTCTTGAAACGATGCGTTAATTTTTATGATGTCCCACATTGGGATAAACCCAATTTAATGTATCATTAAAATTAATAATAATAAATAATATATTAATTTAAAAGAAAGTTATCAGCATATTTGAAAATAAATGGTTAATATTATCAAATAGAGACAGTGGGACAACGAGGTAGAAAAGCTGTGCTTCAAATTTTTTTTTTTTTAAAAAATCCGCTTGTGCATAGGCCTTGAAAAAATATTTTTACAAAATCCACGTTTGTGGACAGGCCTTGAAAAAATATTTTTAAAAAATCTATATTTGTTGGTAGTCCCTGAAAAAATATTTTTAAAAAATCTAGGTTTAAAAAATATTTTTAAAAAATCCACTTTGTAGATAGTCCTTGAAAAATATTTTTAAAAAATCCACGTTTGTTGGTAGTCCTTAAAAAATATTTTTAAAAAATCCACGTTTGTGGACAGTCTTTGAAAAAATATTTTAAAAAAATCCACGTTTGTTGGTAGTCCTTGAAAAAATATTTTTAAAAAATCCACTTTTTTGATAGTCCACGAAAAAATATTTTTAAAAAATCAACCTTTGTTGATAGTCCTTGAAAAACTATTTTTAAAAAATCCACTTTTGTAGATAGTCCTTGAAAAATATTTTTAAAAAATACACGTTTGTTGGTAGTCCTCAAAAATATATTTTAGAAAAAATCCACGTTTGTTGGTAATCCTTGAAAGAATATTTTAAAAAAATCCACGTTTTGTGATAGTCCTTGAAAAAATATTTTTAAAAAATCCACGTTTGTGGATAGGCCTTGAAAAAATATTGTTAAAAAATCCACGTTTGTTGGTAGTCATGGAATAAATATTTTTAAAAAATCCACGTTTGTGTATAGTCCTGGAAAACTATTTTTAAAAAATCCACGTTTGTGGATAGTTCTTGTAATAATATATTTTAAAAATCCACGTTTGTTGGTAGTTTAAAAAAAATATTTTTAAGAAATCCCCGTTTGTGGATAGTCCTTGTGGATAGTCCTTTAAAAATATTTTTAAAAAAATCCACGTTTGTTGGTAGTCCTTGAAAAAATATTTTTAAAAATCTGTGATTGTGAGTAGTCCTTAAAAAATATTTTTAAAAATCCACGTTTGTTTATAGTCCTTGAAAAATATTTTTAAAAAAATTTACGTTTGTTGGTAGTCCTTGAAAAAATATTTTTAAAAAATCCACGGTAGGCGGTAGTCCTTGAAAAAATATTTTTAAAAAATCCACGTTTGATGGTAGTCCTTGAAAAAATATTTTTAAAAAATCCACGGTAGGCGGTAGTCCTTGAAAAAATATTTTTAAAAAATCCACGTTTGTGGAAGGTCCTTGAAAAAATATTTTAAAAAAATCCACGTTTGTGTATAGTCCTTTAAAAAATATTTTTAAAAAATCCACGTTTGTGTATAGTCCTTTAAAAAATATTTTTAAAAAATCCACGTTTGTGTATAGTCCTTTAAAAAATATTTTTAAAAAATCCACGTTTGTGTATAGTCCTTTAAAAAATATTTTTAAAAAATCTCTGATTGTGAGTAGTCCTTAAAAAGTATTTTTAAAAAATCCACGTTTGTTGATAGTTCTTGTAATAATATATTTTAAAAATCCACGTTTGTTGGTAGTTTAAAAAAAATATTTTTAAGAAATCCCCGATTGTGGATAGTTCTTTAAATTTTTTTTTTAAATCCACGTTTGTGGATAGTCCTTTAAAAATATTTTTAAAAAAATCCACGTTTGTTGGTAGTCCTTGAAAAAATATTTTTAAAAATCTCTGATTGTGAGTAGTCCTTAAAAAGTATTTTTAAAAAATCCACGTTTGTTGATAGTCCTTGAAAAATATTTTTAAAAAAATTTACGTTTGTTGGTAGTCCTTGAAAAAAATATTTTTAAAAAATCCACGGTAGGCGGTAGTCCTTGAAAAAATATTTTTTATAAAATCCACGTTTGATGGTAGTCCTTGAAAAAATATTTTTTATAAAATCCACGTTTGATGGTAGTCCTTGAAAAAATATTTTTAAAAAATCCACGGTAGGCGGTAGTCCTTGAAAAAATATTTTTAAAAAATCCACGTTTGTGGAAGGTCCTTGAAAAAATATTTTTAAAAAATTCACGTTTGTGGAAGGACCTTGAAAAAGTATTTTTAAAAAATCCACGTTTGTTGGTAGTCCTTGAATAAATATTTTTAAAAATCTCTGATGGTGGGTAGTCCTTAAAAAAATATTTTTAATAAATCCAAGTTTGCGGATATTCCTTTAAAAATTATTTTTAAAAAATTCACGTTTGTTGGTAGTCCTTGAAAAAATTTTCTTTAAAATTCCACATCCATTTCGAAGCCTCAAAAAATTAATTCTTTGGAATATTTTTGTTGTTGTAATTTAAACGAATTTTAATTTTCATTAAATGCTGGAAATGGAATTAAAATTCAATTGAATCTAGAATCTAGTTTTTCCATTGTTGTTTACAGCTGCATGATTTGCCGGCTTTAAAATTACAAACATCTTAATCGAAATACCGGGCCATGGTGGGGGGTGGCGGTCGTAATAGGGGTGGGGAAATAGCATCGGTTGTAATTAAGAACATCAGATCGTTTCTTCTCATTTTCTCTCTTTCTCTCTCTCCCGAGAGAGATGTCGATCGCATTAAAAAAATCGCTGACGTTGCCATTTTAATTGCTTTGCACCACTGTAATCATCGAATACCGGGAGACATTGCGCCTTCATAAACCTGACTTTAATGACTGGTCGTTTTGAATGAAAATGAAATTGAAACACCACAACGCTTCGCCGGTCGGCCAAGAACTGAGAACGAGAGTCTGTTTGTCCGTCCGTGCGTCTGTCCGTTAATAAATTAAAATTTCTCCGCCGGTGAGGAAAGATGCTAAGTTCTGCTGGTGCATCTGAACCGGGTACTGCAGTTGATTTTTTCAAGCGGTAGCGTTAAGTTAACGGCAACGGAATAAAATGCGGATTTTAAATTTTTTTACGCTGTTCCTATTCGGACCACTGCTGCTGGCCCGGGTCCAGGTCTCGGTCCTGGGCCAAATGCAACATGAAAACATCATACCATTTATGTTGCAATTTTTGGCCGATGGCCAAAGGGATGAGAATCTGGAGCAGTTCGATGAGAGGATGACTTTGCTCAAGGAATACGATTTCATTGTGGTGGGTGCGGGAACGGCTGGCTGTGCTTTGGCAGCCCGCCTTTCCGAAAATCCCCAATGGAAGGTGTTGCTGCTGGAGGCAGGTGGCCCCGAGCTATTGGTCATGGATGTACCGATCTTTGCCCATTTCCTGCAACTGAATCGTGACATAAACTGGGGTTATCGCACCCAACCCTCTAAGGATTATTGTATTGGCCTGAAAAACAATCGTTGTAACTTCCCACGCGGCAAGGTCATGGGTGGCTCCTCGGTTTTGAATTACATGATGTATACGCGCGGAAATCGCCGCGACTATGACACCTGGGCCGCCCTGGGCAATGAGGGCTGGAGCTATAAGGATGTGTTGCCATATTTCAAGAAGCTAGAAGGATCCATGGTACCCGAAGCTGATGCAGAATACGTTGGGCGCCAGGGCCCAGTACGAGTTTCCTGCCCCAAACGCCACTCAAAGGTGGCTGAGGCCTTTGTCAAGGCCGGTCCCGAGGATGGTACGGCCCGTTGTGATTATAATGGCAAAAAGCAATGCTGCTTCTCCTACATCCAAACCACCACCAATCAGGAGTTTCGCTGGAGTTCAAATCGGGCCTATTTGTATCCGCTGAAGGGAAAACGCCCAAATTTGCATATCCGAAAAAGAGCCCTGGTCACAGAGATTCTCATTGATCCGGCCACCAAGACGGCGTATGGGGTGAAATTTGAACACAATGGCCAATCGTTTGTGGTCAAGGCCAGGCTGGAGGTCATATCCTCGGCGGGGGCCATCAACACTCCCCAACTGCTAATGTTGTCCGGTGTGGGACCGGCCAAACATTTACGGGAGCTGGGTATTCAACCCCTGGCCGATTTGGCTGTGGGCTTTAATCTCCAGGATCACATTGCCCCTGCCCTGACCTTCTACACGAATGAGACCACCCTGAAGGTGGAACAGTTCTTCGATGTCAATGAATTGCTGAAAATGCAAAGCCATGACAGCATGCTTTCGGTGCCGGGTGGGGTGGAGGCAATTGCCTTTTATGATTTGGATCATCCCAGTGAGGCGGATGGCTGGCCCGATATTGAGCTATTCCTTGTCAGTGGTGGTCTCCACACCAATCCTGCCACTGTGAGGGCCTTTGGCGTACGCGAGGATATCTATCATAAAATGTACGATGACATTGTGAAACAGGACACCGATGTCTTTCTCATCTTTCCCATGATCCTGCAGCCACGTAGCCGCGGGCGGATCATGCTCAAGAGCAAAGATCCCAAGAAATATCCTCTCATCTATCCGAATTATTTCAAGGATCCCTATGATTTGGACATAGCCGTAAGGGGTCTACAAAAATGCATTGAACTGACCAAACATCCTTCGATGCGAAAAATCAATGCCCGCGTTCTGGACAAACCCATACCGGAATGTCAAAAATATGGTGACGTCACCTCCCGGGCATATTTGGAATGTTATGCCCGACATTTTACCTTTACGATTTATCATCAATCGGGTACAGCGAAAATGGGACCACGTTCCGATCGCACCGCCGTTGTGGATGATCGCCTAAGGGTGCATGGCATTAAGAATTTACGTGTCGTGGATGCCAGTATTATGCCAAAGATTGTGGCGGGCCACCCGAATGGTCCCGTCTTTATGATTGCCGAAAAGGCAGCGGACATGATTAAACAGGATCATGGTTATCATGGGAGATAAGAAAGAATAATTAAAAATAAAATAATAATTAAAAAAAATTAAAATAAAAAAATTATGTGATGTGATAATCCGGTTTCCCAAAATCGAGATTTACATAAAAATCAGAATTGAAATGCCAAAAAAAGTAATCAAAACAAATTCCAGAATCATTTAAGTGCTCTTGTTCCCGCACCCGTTATTTATTTATTTTTTTTTTTATTGAATTCATTGGATTATTTGTGTGTTTGTTTTAGTTTTAGTACAATTTAGTGCATAATTTATTTAAAATTAATTAAAAAAAAATAATTGTTATAATTTATTGTTATTGCATTGTTGCCATGAAAAAGGGTCTCCAGGGCCATTTTTTTGTAAATAAAAAATGTCAACAAAATAAAAAAAAAATATTTTTTTTTAATGGAAAAACGTGAACTCCAAATGTGGCATTTTAAAAAAATTAGAGACAAGCAACAGTGGATAAAAAATTAAATTTTTTTCTTCAAAAAAACTAACAGAAGTGGTTATATTTTTTAAATATTTTTTGTTTAACCAACGCGGATTTTTTAAAATAATTTTTTTAAGCCACAGCAGAGGAGTTTTTTTTTTGGAGAAGGGACGACAGTAGTGGATTGAGAAAGTAGAAACAAAGATGGAAGACACATAAGACAAAGTAACCAAAATAGGGGAGGGGGAGAGGAAGGGTAGGCAAGTCTCCCCCGTCTTCCACATTTTTTTTTTGCTAAATTTTCGAATAAAAATTCCCTGGAATCCCTTGACTTTAGGCATATAGTGTCTTTAGCAATATTACAGCTTACAGTACGAAGATTATTTCCATTGAAAATTTTAACCCTCAAACGAGTCAAGAAACGGGTCTTTTTGGTCCTTATTTTAAAATATGTTTAAAAAATCCATTTTTAGCGGCATCGTAGCAAGTCAAAATATTCTACAAAATTATTTGTCATGAAATTCTACTATGGGTCCTAGAGGACCTCAAAAGCCTTATTCCTACCTAAATGCCAGGAATTCATATTTTTAAAAAAATATACATTTTAGGGTTAAAATCACACTTGAGGTGAGTGGAGGCCAAAATCTCCCACAAAGCATTACTTTAGATGGATAACGTCAAAGACAAAAATATTCCTCATCAAATTTCAACCTGGGTCACTTCAGGAAAGAAATCTCTATTTTCATTACATACCTTAAAAATATTTGCCTCAATGTAGGCAAAAAAAAAAAAAAAAAAAAAGAAAAAAAATGAAAATATTCCTTTTTTGGCATATTTTCCTTGACCTTTTTTGATTTTCCGCCTGAAAGTAACCTAAAATTTCGTTTTATCCATAAAATGTCAAAAGAAGAAATATTCTGGACTAAATTTCACCACAAATCTCAGAATAAACCATATATCTAGGTTTAATGGTTTTCAAGATAATTGCATTCGAAATTTATATATGTTACAAGTGAAGAAAATGAAAATACTAGTAAATTTAACACATTTCCATGTGAGTTGGGGCATAATTCTTATACAAAGGATCATTTTAAATGGATGACGTCATAGACAAAAATTCTCCTCATCAAATTCGACCCTTAGTCGCCTCAGGAAAGGAATCTCTATTTGCATTACATACCCCTAAAAAATTTGCCGCAATGTTGCCAAAAAAAAAAGAACATTAAAATATTCAATTTTTTCGGCAATTTTTTCTCAGCCTTTTTTGGAGTTGAGGTCTGAAAGTAACATATAATTTCGTTTGAGGTAAAAGCTACTAAGAGAAGAAATATTCTACACAAAATTCCACTATAAATCTTAGAATAAACCACACATCTAGGTTTAATGGTTTTCAAGATAATTGCATTCGAAATTTATATATGTGAAGTGAAGAAAATGAAAATACTAGTAAATTTAACACATTTCCATGTGAATTCGGGCATAATACTTATACAAAGCGTAATTTTAGGGTAATGGCTTCAAAGGAAAAAATATTCCTCATCAAATTTCACCTTGAGTAGCCTCAGGAAAGAAATCAGTATTTTCATTATGTACCCGAAAAATGATTGATTCAAAGTTGCCAAAAAACCATCAAAAAATATTTATTTTTTTCGGCATATTTTCCTTGGCCTTTTTTGAGTTTCCGCCTGAAAGTAACATAAACTTTCACTTTATCGACTAAGCGTTAAAAGAAAAAATATTCTAGACTAAATTTTATGCCAAATCCCAGGATAAACCATATATCTAGGTGTAATGGTTTTTAAGAAAATTGCATTCGAAAAGTATTATTACAAGTGAAAATAATGACGTTAATAATAACATTTAACACATTTCCATGTGAGTTAGGGCAAAATTCCTATACAAAGCATCATTTTAGAAGAATGGTGTTAAGGATAAAAATATTCTTCATCAAATTCCACCCCAAGTCACCTCAGGAAAGGAATCTCTGTATCCATTATATACCCTAAAAATATTAGCTTCAAAGTTGTCAAACAAATCATCAAAAAATATTTCTTTTTTCTTCATATTTTGCTTGGCCTTTTTTCAAGTTCCCGCCAGAAAGTAACATAAAATTTTGTTTTAGGTAAAAGCTTCTAACAGAAGATATATTCTAGACTAAATTTCACTATAAATTTGGGAATAAACTATACATCTAGGTTGAATGGTTTTTAATAAAATCACATTCGACATTTGAGTACTACAAGTGAAGATAATGACAATAATAATAACATTTAACATATTTCCATGTGAGTTCGGGCATAATGGTTATACAAAGCATAATTTTAGGGTAATGGCATCAAAGACAAAATTATTCCTGATCAAATTTCACCCTGGGTCACCTCAGAAAAGAAATCTCTATTTCCATTTTATACCCGAAAAATATTTGCTATAAAGTTGCCAAAAAAACCACCAAGAAATATTTCTTTTTTTCGGCATATTTTTCTCGGTATTTTTTCAAGTTGATGGCTGAAAGTAGCATTAAATTTCATTTTATCAACAAAGTATCAATGGAAGATATATTCTACACAAAATTTTACTATTAATCTCAGAATAAATCATATATCTAGGTTTTATGGTTCCTAAGAAAATTGCATTCGAAATTTATATGTTACGAGTGAAGAAAATGTAAATAATAACAAATTTTACACATTTCCATGTGAGTTCGGGCATAATGCTAATACAAGGCATCATTTTAGGGTAACGGCTCCAAAGATAAAAATATTCTTCATGAAATTTCACCCTGAGTCACCTCAGGAAAGAAATCTCTATTTTCATTACTTACCCTAAAAATATTTGCCTCAATGTTGCCAAAAAGAAAACATGAGAATATTCAGTTTTTTGGCATATTTTTCTCGACCCTTTTTTGAGTTGAGGTATGAAAGTAACATAAAATTTCGTTTTAGGTAAAAGCTAATAAAAGAAGATATATTCTAGACTAAATTTCAGAATAAATCTTAGAATAAACTATATATCTAAGTTTAATGGTTTCTAAGAAAATTCTATTCGAAATTTATATATTACAAGTGAAAATAATGACAATATTAATCAAATTTAACACATTTCCATGTGAGTTCGGGCATAATAATTATACAAAGCATCATTTTAGGGTAATGGCTTCAAAGACAAAAATATTCCTCATCAAATTTCACCCTGAGTCACCTCGGAAAAGAAATTTCTATTTCCATTACGTACCCTAAAAATATTTGCCTCAATGTTGCCATAAAGAAACCATGAAAATATTCCATATTTTCTGCATATTTTTCTCGGCCCTTTTTCGAGTTGAGGCATGAAGGTAACAAAAAATTCCGTTTTATGTAGAAGCTATTAAAAGAAGAATTATTCTAGACTAAATTTCGCCATAAATCTCAGAATAAACCATACATCTATGTTTACTGGTTTTAAAAATAACTGCATTCGAATTTTATGTATTACAAGTGCAGAAAATGAAAATAATAATGAATTTTACACATTTCCATGTGAGTTCGGGCATAATGCTAATACAAGGCATCATTTTAGGGTAACGGCTCCAAAGATAAAAATATTATTCATCAAATTTCACCCTGAGTCACCTCAGGAAAGAAATCTCTATTTTCATTACTTACCCTAAAAATATTTGCCTCAATGTTGCCAAAAAGAAAACATGAGAATATTCAATTTTTTGGCATATTTTTCTCGACCTTTTTTTGAGTTGAGGTATGAAAGTAACATAAAATTCCGTTTTAGGTAAAAGCTCCTAAAAGAAGATATATTCTGGACTAAATTTCACTATAAATCTCAGAATAAACCATACATCTAGGCTTAATGGTTTCTAAGAAAATTGCATTCGAATTTTATGTGTTTCAAATGAAAATAATGACTATAATAATAAAATGTAACACATTTCCATGTGAATTCCGCCATAATGCTTATACTAAGCTTCATTTTAGGGTAATGGCTTCAAAGGGAAAAATATTCCTCATCAAATTTCACCATAAGTCAGCTCTGGAATGAAAACTCTATTTCCATTATATACCCAAAAAATATTTGCTTCAAAGTTGCCAAAAAAATCATAAAAAAATATTCCTTTTTTTTCGGCATATTTTTCTCGGCCTTTTTTCGAGTTGACGGCTTAAATTAACATAAAATTTAATTTTATCCACAAAGCACCAATAGAAGAAATATTCTAGACTAAATTTCACTATAAATCTCAGAATAAACTATACATATAGGTTTAATGGTTTTCAAGATAATTGCATTCGTAATTTATGTAGTACAAGTGAAAATAATGACAATAATAATAAATTTAACATCTTTCCATGTGAGTTCGGGCAAAATGCTTATACAAAGCATCATTTTAGAAAAATGGTGTTTAAGAACAGAAATATTCCTCATCAAATTTCACCCTAAGTCACCTCAGGATAGAAATCTCTATTTCCATTATATACCCTAAAAACATTTGCCGCAAAAAAAGCATAAAAAATACTTATTTTTTGGGCATATTTTCCTTGGCTTTTTTTAGGAGTCGACGTCTGAAAGTGACATAAAATTCCGTTCTATGTAAAAGCTATTAAAAGAAGAAATATTCTACACAAATTTTCACTATTAGTTTCAGAATAAACCATACATCTAGGTTTAATGATTTTTAAGAAAAATTACAGCCGAAATGTATGCATTACAAGTGAAGAAAATGAAAATATTAATAAATTTAACACATTTCTCGGCCTTTATCGAGTTGAGGCATGAAAGTGACATAATATTTCGTGTTAGACCAAAACGACCAAAAGAAGATATAATCTGGACAAAATTTCACTATAAATCTCAGCATAAACTATACATCTAGGTTTCATCATTTCTAAGGAAATTTAACTCGAAATGGATGTATTACAAGTGAAGAAAATGACAGTAATAATAAATTTTACATATTTCCATATGAGTTTGTGAACAATTCTTCCACAAAGCATCATCTGAGGAGGATGGGTCTCAAGAAAGAAATATTCCTCATCAAATTTCACCTTGAGTCACCTCAGGAAAGAAATATCTATTTCCATTTTATACCCGAAAAATCTTTGCCTAAATGTTGCCAAAAAATACAATGAAAATATTCCATATTTTTCGGCATATTTTCCTTGGCCTTTTTTCGAGTTAATGGCTGAAAGTAACATAAAATTTCGTTTTAGGTAAAAGCTACTAAAAGAAGATATATTCTAGACAAAATTTCGCTATAAATATTAGAATAAACTATACATATAGGTTTAATGGTTTTTAAGAAAATTGCATTCGAATTTTATGTGTTTCAAGTGAAAATAATGACAATAATAATAAATATAACACATTTCCTTGTTAGAGCAGGCATAATACTTATACAAAGCATCATTTTAGGGTAACGGCTCCAAAGACAAAAATATTCCTCATCAAATTCTACCCTAAGTAGCCTCAGGAAAGAAATCTCTATTTCTATTTTATACCCGAAAAATATGTGCCTCAAAGTTGCCAAAAAAATTATCAAAAAATATATTTTTTTCGGCATATTTTCCCTGGCCTTTTTTCGAGTTTCCGCCTCAAAGTAGCATAAAATTCCATTTAATCTGCAAGGTGCCAAAAGAAGATATATTCTTCACAAAATTTCACTATGAATCTCAGAATAAATTATACATCTAGGTATAATAGTTTTCGAGAAAACTACATTCCAAATATATGTATCAAAAGTGAAAATTTTGTCTGAGGTTTTCTTGCTGTTAATTTAACACCTTTTCAACCCTGGTCAAAATCTCACTTTCTACTACGTTTTTTCGGCAAAGTGCCAAAGTAAGAATTTTTCAGGATCGAATTTCAGTGCTAGTCTCTGAACAAAAGAAATTTGTATATTCACTATATATCATGAAAAAATATCATCAATTTAACGTTAATTTAGGTTTGTTTATTTTTAAAAAAAATTAACACTTTTTCCCATTCCCATCCTCATTGAATTGTTTTTCAAATTCCATGTCCTCCAAAAAAATATTTCTTTCAAGTCACATCCTTAAAAAAATAATTTCAAAAAAATCCAATTTTTTTTAAATAAATAATTTTTTTTTATTTCTTAGTATCTAACCACTACAACTAACACTAATTTCATTTCATCTAATGTAACCATGATCCTGTTTAATCATATCCGCCGCCTTTTCGGCAATCATAAAGACCGGACCATTTGGATGACCGGCAATGATATTTGGCATAATGCTGGCATCCACGACACGTAAATTCTTGATGCCATGAACCCTCGACCACAGCCATTTTATCACTTCGTGGACCCATTTTTGCTGTACACGTCTGATGATAGATCGTAAAGCTAAAGTAACGCAGATAACATTCCAAATAGGGTCGCGAGGTTATATCGCCATATTTTCGACACTGTGGTATGGGACGTTCCAGCAGCCGGGCATTGATTTTACGCATCGAGGGATATTTCAGGAGATTTATGGCCCTTTGCAGCCCTCTCACCAAAATATCCAAATCATAGGGATCTCGGAAATAATTCGGATATATCCGGGGATGATCATGGGGATTTTTACTACGCAGCAAAATGCGACCCCTGCTGCGTGGCCTTAGATTCATGACGAATATCATAAAGGTATCGGGATCATTTTTCAAGATATCCTCGTACATGTATTCATAGATGTCCTGGCGCATATTAAAGGCTCTCACAGTGGCGGGATTTGTGTGGAGACCCCCACTTATCATAAAAAATTCCATATCGGCCCAGCCATCGGCGCGATTGTTGTGATCGAGATCATAGAAGGCAATTGCCTCCACACCATCCGGTATGGAAAGGCTACTGTTTTTGGTCTCCAGCTGTAAATATTCACTGGCATCGAATAGGTTCTGCAGCTTCAGCGTTGAGGTGTTGGTGTTGAATGTGAGAAAGGGGGCCAGGTGATCTTGGAGATTAAAGCCCACCGCCAAATCGGCAATGGGTTTAATACCCACCTGCCTGAGATGTTTGGCAGGACCCACTCCCGACAACATTAGCAATTGGGGTGTATTAATGGCTCCTCCCGAGGATATGACCTCCTTGCGGGCCTTTACCGTGAAACTCTGGCCTCTCGACTCGAATCGCACCCCTTGGGCAGTTTTGGTCTTGGGGTCGATGAGTATTTTTGTGACCAGAGAATATTTGCGGATATGCAAATTCGGTCTCTTACCCTTGATGGGATACAAATAGGCCCGATTGGAACTCCAGCGATATCTGCCATCGGTGGTGGTCTGGATGAAGGAATAGCAAATCTGTTTCCTGCCATTGTAGTCACATTTGGGTATGCCATCCGCCTGGCCAGCCTCCACAAAAGCCTCGGCCAATTTGGAGCGACGATGGGGATGGGTAATTTTCACCGGGCCATTGCGGCCCACCAGCTCCGGATCGGCATCCTCCACATAGGAATGTTCGAGTTTTTGGAAATATGGCAAAACCTCAGGCCAACTCCAGCCCTTGTTACCCATGGCTGCCCAGCTGTCATAATCACGGCGATTGGCCCGCGTATACATCATGGCATTTAGCACTGAAGAGCCACCCATAACCTTACCGCGCGGAAAATGACAGCTCCTGTTGTAGAGGCCCAAACAATAGGAATCCGAGGGTTCGGTAAAATATTTCCAATTCACTTCCGAACTCAATTTCAGCAACTGGGCAGTGGCCGGGAAATCCATAATCAAAAGCTCCGGGCCTCCTGCCTCCAGCAGCAACACCTTCCATTGGGGATTTTCGGAGAGGCGAGCCGCCAACGTACAACCTGCCGTGCCGGCACCCACCACAATGAAATCGTATTCCTTCAAAAGCGGCGCATTGTTATCCAAATTCTCGAGATTTTCTTCGGCCTGACCTTGGGCAAGTATACGTAGGTACGATTGTATGACATTTGTGCTTTGGGCGTTACAAAGGCGATTCCCAACCACTAGTAGCAGCAACAGCAGACAGCAACACACATGGAAATCGAATTTTATTTTCATAATTTAATGGAGTCTCTATTTTTTCGGATATTTTTTTTGCTTTTTTGGCTGTCATGAAAAGCCCTCCGTTAATTTAAACGTTTTAAGAGCAACTGATCGGCCGTTAGAATGCGCACTACTTTCTAGCGACAGTTATATGAGAAGACCCCCTCTCCCAGCTTAGCACATTAATAGTTCAAGGTCTTTTATCCCATTTCAAGATTTTTTGATGTTTTCAAAGCAGGTTGTGAGTTATTTTTTGTTGGGTGGGGCGCTACACTCGTTGGGGTGACGTAGTTAGTTTGGGTGAGAAAATGTCGGAAAATAAAGAATTAAAAAAAAGTTAAAAAATTAAAATATTTAAATATTTCAAACCCTAAGGAACCCTTTACTAATTCTGGCGAATTAGAAAGGGAACTAAAAAATCGAGCCTTGAAATTTCAGAATTTCTGGAAGGTTTCGCATAGGGCTTCCGATGCCTAAAGAAGGTTTCAGAAGGCATCTATTGGCAATTTGAGGTCTCAAAAAATCTTGGGTTAGCAGTAGAAAGGACCTGTAATGTCAAAGGAAGGCTTCACCGGGACTTCTATTGTCGATAGGAGAACTCACAGGGCTTTCATTGCCAATACGGGAACTTCGAAGGCTTCCATTGTCAATAGGAGGACTCACAGTGCTTCCATTGTCAATAGAAGGACCCACATGGCCTTTCATTGCCAATACGAGGACTCTCAAGCCTTCCATTGCCAATACGAGGACTCACAAGGCTTCCATTGTCAATAGAAGGACTCACAAGGCTTCCGTTGTCAATAGGAGGACTCACAGTGCTTCCATTCTCAATAGAAGTACTCACAGGACTTCGATTGCCGATAGAAGGACGCGCAAGGCTTCCATTGTCAATAGGAGGACTCACAGGGCTTCTTTTATCAGTAGATAGACCTTAAAAAGTTTACATCCGTCAATCGAAACCCCTCGAAAAAAGCTTCTCTTGGCATTAGAAGACTTCAAGAAGCCTTCTATTGCCAGCAAAGCTTCAGAATACTTCAATCGGAAGATTTTTGTCGATCTCGAAGGACCATTTGTGGTTTCCAGCAACGTCCTTACATCATGTCGAACTGTTTTAGATTTTCAAAATAATTACTTACGTCGAAGGACCATTTTTGGGTGGCAATTATCAAACGTATCTTCTCGAATCTACTGTAGAGGCTTCTACTGTCCTCGAAGGACCATTTCAGATACCAAACACTAATGTTTTGGCCTTTGAACTGGTCTAGAAAGACCATTTCCTCGAAAACAACTTGGCATCTATGCAAATATTCTGGTTGAATTCTGGTGACAATTTCGGACCGCAAATTTTATTTTCAGAGGTAATGTTCTCCTTTATAGGTCTTAGATGAGGTCAGTAGGTCTCAAAATGCATTTCGGTTTAATAATTATAGCCTCGAAGGACCATTTCAAATCTCACGTCATTCAACTGTGCCGTGAAGAAAACATATCTTTATTTTACGACTCATGCCAAACTCGACGGACCATTTCTGACCTCAAATCACATTGTTGGGCCTTTAATGACTTTATCAGATCGTGAAAGGTCTACTTCGGAAAATATGATAAGTTTGAAGGATTTCTTCTGGTCTCAGAATACAGTTTTTGTCACGCAAAAGATTGTTCAAATGGTTCATTTAACTTCTGAGGTTGAAGGACCACTTTGGGGTACCATACATCTAATGTTCATATTTTAAACTGGTCAAGAGACTTCGGCTGACCTCTGGCGACCCTCTTAAGTTGGCAGACATTAACATTTCGGCATTTTAACTGGTTTAGAAATACCATTTCCTCTAAACGAAGTTATCTTTGAAGCATCGCTTTTGCTCCCATTTGCGTAAGGACATTTCTGACCACAAATTTTATTTTCGATTATAATTTTATAACTTTTTGGCCTTAGATGAGCTCGGCTGGTCTCAAAGCCATTTCAGTTAAATAATTGTGATCTCGAAGGACCATTTTTGTCCTCAAATAATTTGTTTTTTGTTACAAAGACTTATTTAAATTTTTCAAACTTCGACTAACCTCGAAGGACCATTTTCCAAAACCAAATTTTATTTTCAGCTGTTGAATGGTTTTTCTTTGACTCTTATTAACCTTATTTGGTCTCGAAAAGCTATTTTTCTTAAATAAATTTGATCTCGGAGGACCATTTCTGGTGTTAAAAAATATGTCGTTATCATGTCAAAACACTTGGCGAATTTCGGAGATTTTTTCAGGCTTCGAAAGACCATTTCTGGTCTCAAATTGACATTTTATAGGCCAAGGATTTCTTTTTAAGCCCTTAATGGTTTCATCTGAACTTGAAAGACTTATTTCCAATAAAATATGATGACATCGAAGAACCATTTCTGGTCTCAAACAATGTTTTTTTGTTACGTAAAAATTTAACGAACTTTCTGGGCTACTCATGACCTCGAAGAACCATTTCTAAACTTAAACGATATATTTCCACAGAAAACATTTTACTTCTTTGCCCCTTTGGTGTCAGAACAGCATTTCTGTTGAAAAAATGTTACTCGAAGGACCATTTCTGGTCTTGAACGACAATCCCTTTCACGTCGAATATTTTGTGAATTTCTGAAAATTTTGCTGACCTTGAAGAACCATTTCTGGTCTCAAATTGACATTTTATTGCTCAAGCTTTTTTTTAGCCCTCAAAGGATTTATTTGGATTCGAAAGACTTATTTCCAATAAAATATGATGGCCTCGAAGGACCAATTCTGGTCTCCAACAATGTTTTTATGTTACGTAAAAATGTAGTGAACTTGGTAGAATACGGAAGCCCTTGATGGCTTTATCTGAACTCGAAAAAACCATTTCCAGTAACATATGATGACCTCGAAGGACCAATTCTGGCCTCAAACTGTCATTTTGTGTTACACGAAGTTATTATTAATTTCATAGATCACAGACGACATCGCAGGACCATTTCCGACTTTAGAACACCTTTTCAGGTGCCAAGTGGCAAACTTTTGGACCTCAGTGACTGTTATCCGTCTCAAAATACTGATTCCGTAACAATTTCATGATGTCGCGGGACCATTTCTGGTCTCAAGTTGCGTTTTTAAGTAACGTGGAACAGTTATTAATTTGAAAGGCTGCAGATGACCTCAAAAGATCTTTTTTGAGTCTGAAGTCTTTTATTTGAGTCAAGCAGAATAAGTTCTTTCAAATTCCAAAATTATTTTGGATCTGGTGAGACTCTTGCTGTCCTCGAAGGACCATTTCTGGTTTCACATTTTTCTTTTGTCGGTCAGGAGTTTTCCTTTGATGCCATGTGGTTTAATTTAATCTGGAAAATAAGTCCCATTAAATTCCTGAATTATTTAGATCTCCGAGGATCATTTTTTTGTCCGAAATGCGAAGATTTACTCTTTTAACCCTCAATTGCTACCCGACCCTTTAACCCTCAATGACAATTACTGCATTTTTTCTGATGCCAATACAGTTATTCATTTTATGCTGTACATATGACCTCGAAGGACCATTTTCGTGTCAAAATTCCTTTGCTTGAGTTGTGAAGAATCTGTTCTATTAAATTCGAAGATTATTTTGACCCTCGTAGGAGGATTTTAATGCGAATTATTGGATTTATTTAATCTGGAAAATAAGTTCCATTAAATTTCTGAATTATTTTAGATCCCCAATACCATTTTTTTGTCTGACCTGCGAAGAATTACTCTTTTAACCCTCAATTGCTACCCGACCCTTTAACCCTCAATGATTACTTCGGCATTATTTCTGATGCCAATAGAGTTATTCATTTTAAGGTGTACAGATGAGCTCGAAGGGCCATTTTCATGTCGAGTAGTATTTGTTCTACTAAATTCGAAAATTATTTTGTCCCTCGGAGGATGATTTATTACCTGGATTATTGTCCCTCAATGACCACTTGACCCTTCCAAAATTATTTTGAATCTCCAAAGACCATTGCTTTGCCTGAAATGTAAAGATTTACTGTTTTAACCCTCAGTTGCTACCCGACCTTTTAACCCTCAATAGTCAAACGATCTGAATATAAAAGCATTCTATTTGCCTCCCTTAGGATAATTTCGGATTCCAGTAAATATTATTATGCGGGGAGAAACAGTTATTAAATTTTTGGACCACGGATGAACTCGAAGGACCATTTTGAGCTTTAAATCATTTGTCCGAAATACCAACGAACATTTAACCCTTAATAACTACATGGCCTGAATAAAACAAATGCTATCGCCCTCCTGTCGGATCATTTCTGATTTCAATAAATATTTTTGGTGCCTGCGGAAAAGTTATTGATTTTGATGGACCATAGATGAATACGAAGGACCATTTGTTCGAAATACCAACGAATAATAACTACCTGGCCTGAATAAATCAAATTCTATCGCCCTCCCGTCGAACCATTTCTGATTCCAATAAATATTTTTGGTGCCTGCGGAAAAGTTATTGATTTCGATGGACTATAGATGACCTCGAAGGACCATTTTTGAGCCTAAAATCATTTCTCCAAAATTAAAGGGTACTATGACCTTTGAGCCTTAGACTGTTTGCTTGGATCAATTGAAATATTTTCTTTTTTAATTCCATGACTATTTTGGATCTCGAAGGACCAATTATTTGACCGAAATTCAATTTTTTTCTATCTTAACCCTCAATTGCTACCGGACCCTTTAACCTTAAATGGCTACTTGACCCGAATAAAAATCATACCATTGGCCTCCAAGGACTAATATTAATCCCCAATATGCTGAATAAAAAATCTTTACAAAAAAAATCCTCGAAGGACCATTTTGAGCCTAAAATCATTTCTCCAACATGACAGGTTTACTATGACCTTAAAAGTCAACTTTTGAGCCTAAAAATATTTGTTTGAATTCAGTACAATAGGTTCTTTCAAATTCCATGTCTATTTTGGATCTCGAAGGACCATTTATTGTCCGAAATTCAATTTTTTTACTCTTTTAACCCTCAATTGCTACCAAACCCTTTAACCTTAAAAGGCTACTTGACATGAATAAAAATCATTCCATTGGCCTCCAAGGACTAATATTAACCTCCAATATGCGGAACAAAAAATCTTTACAAAAAAAAAAAATTCTCGAAGGACTATTTTGAGC